TCCCATTAGTGACACAGAAGGTCCCTCTCCACAAACTGATCTACACCAAGGGCGACTGCCCCTTTTGATTCTGGAGATTTGAGGATTTGCTAAGTGAAAAATGATCCTCCGTTGTTGGTTTAACTTGTTTTATTTCATTGTTAGTGAAGATGATCTTACTGAGCAGAACTACTGAGCATTTATGTTCCTTCTCTTGTTCATTACCCTCTGATAGCCTTTGCCCATTTTTTCTATTTTTCTTACTTTTTCCTATTGGTCTTTGATAACAGGGGTAATTTCAGCAACTTATATTTAACATTTACTGAGTGTGATAAGCCAGGCCCTGTATCAGGTTTATAATGTTTGATCCCAACCAGTGAGTTAAGTGCTATTTACCACCCTCACTTTATAAAGAGGCATCTGAGGCAGAGAGGCGAAGTAACTTATCTGGTATATCAAGGAGATTAACACTTCCTCCTGTGTATTGTAAGGACCATGAACCTATTGAGATGCTCCCCCTGGCCGCAGTGTTTTTGCTACCTCCATTGCTATTAGATAAATCAGCTTTTCTTTATAGTTTGTTTTGATATCTTGATCATCTGCAGGTTATTTTAAATAAATATAATTCAAGCATATATAAACATTCAGACAGTAAAGGATACAAAATAAAAAGTTAAATTATATGTTTTCCCTTTCCATCAACCATGGTCCTACATAGAAAAGTGTCTCTTTTTCACTGTTTATGTTTCTATTTCTCCCGACGGTGGGCCTTCGACTCTAAATAATCTGCACACACCTCCATTTCTTGATTTTCCAACTCTGCACAGTAGATACCAATTTCTTACCAGGAGAGAGGTGCTATCTTAGCTCACAGTCCCTTCCTTCCCTTCGCCCCTCCTGCAGGTACCTTCTAGGGAAACATCCATATCGGCTGTGAGCGCCTTTGTGACTTTAAGGAGCACACTTCGGCCTCCGTTCCTGCTCTGTCAGCTTTAGACGGTGCGCCTTGGCGAGGCTCATTTGTAAGGGGGAATCACATGTGAAAATGGTCGCTCTCTATATTCGTGGGGTCATAAAATGCCGTATTTATGAAGAAATGTTTCATAGAAGCAGGTCTATCTTTAGTCATTTTTTTTTTTAATGAAACCAGAAAACCTGTGTAAGTAGAGTAAAAGTTGTTGATATAAAAGATTATATGAGTTATAACAAGCATATGTTTATTTATATAGCACAGATTATACAGATTATGGAGCCTTTCCACTAGGTAGCTCTTTTTATTGCTCTGAGTAATTCTGCGATGGATAAAGAACACCTCGTCTTTCTCTGCACCAACGAGGAAGCAAGCGCTGCGAGCCTGTGGCTAAAGGAAGTCACTGCAGGGGTCACGCGGCCTTGTCTGGTCGTGTGTCTGTCCAGCAGCCACCTGCTTTCGCCTCTGTGTGGCCTTAGTACTCTGAGCAATCATCCCTCTGTTCCCAGTCTTAGTTCATGTGCTTCCAAGTGAAACTGATTCCACCTTTGAACTTGGGAGGCCTGTGGCTTAGACCCGGGCAGTACATTTCCCTGGCCCAGCAGCTAGGTCCAGGTGGGTCTGGAATGGCCTAGGGATCTATAAGGTAGGCTGAGATTTGGGTGGGAGCAGGGGACAGAGGTGCTTTCCCTGTTCTCCAGGACACTGAGCACCGGGCAGCGAGCAGGTGAGGGAGCTGACTCTGCAGAGGCTGTGTGAGGAAGGAAAGAGTCTGTTCATCCCCAGGACCCGCTCCTGAGCCAGGCCTGCTCCTGCTGCTCAGAGATAGCGGCCAACACAGGTTCCCTTCCCGCTCACCAGTTTGGGTGGGTTTCCTTCAACCGCAGTAATTGCACAGTTAGCTCCTGGCGATCCTGACAGCAGCTCTTTAGACTTAAATCTAGGGCTCTTTCTGCTCCACCCTACTGCCTCCGAAAGGAATGGCTTCCTTACAAACTCAAAACCACACATCCCTCAGACCTTTTCAGCGTATCTTCTGCTTTTCTTCATAGCTTTTAGACAACCTTTAGAAATGCAGTCCCTTGTGTGGAGCTCACTCATTCATGAGCTAGTATGTGAGCAGGTATGGGCCTGACATCTTCTATGCTCCTGAAATGGCAGCGTGGGCCAAGCTGATTTCCAAACTCTTATGTAAAAATTACTTTTATTTTAAGGTGAACAATTCTGGGTCATTTTAACCCTCAGAGACACTGCTCACCACATGCGGCTGTGTACATCGAATGCAATTATAAATGGTTATCTGAAAATCAGGGATACTAACAATTAATTTTTAAAAAATACTCAAAGTTAAGAGAATGATTTTTAACAAGGAGGTCTGCAGGTAGAAGATGGGAAATGTGGCCATTCCCAAGGGTCCCTGGGGGCACTGCCAAGAGCCACAGGTGCCAATGATTTGGATTCTTTATTATACTTGATTTCACATAAAAATGTATAACTTTCCTTTTCCACGGTACCAGAAGAGCTCTATTACTATTCCTAAGCTTAAAAACAACAACAAAGAAACCCCCACAAATGTGGAACTAAAAAGGGGGAAAATACAACAGAAGTTTTCATTTGTTCTTTTAATGTGCATTTCAAGTACATAGACAGTGTTCAAAAAATTACTATCTTAGATCAACATAGAGGAATATCCATGTAAGCCCAAGGCCGCAGCACTGTGCTGGGAGGGAGCTGCTGGGTCCCAGGGCACGGTGAGGCCAGTGGCCCCGCAGGAGGAGGCGCTGCGGGAGGTGAAGGACCTGATGAGGCAGAAACAGACTCCGGGAGGAGCGACGCCATGTGCGCTAAGGCGTGACGGTGCCAGCCAGGGAGTGTGTGAAGGGGGAGGAAAGTGGAAGGCAAATATTTGAACGTCTAGTCTGAAAGTCATAGAAAACTTTTAAATGATTTCTAAATAGGGCTTTTCTAAGGGAACTAGAAAATAGATAAGAGAGTGTAAGGGTGAGGCGTTACACGGGTGGGGAATGTCCGGCGTGAGGGCTGCCAAAGCAACCGCAGGCGGGACTCGAAATTCAATAAACCTAGGAGCTTTTTCATAGCTAATTTTTAAGTTGATAATTCTGTATGGCCTGCGAATAATGCTATAAATATCCAAATGGTCGTTGGCACAAAAAAGATTCCCCACCCCTGCATTAAAAGGAGAGAAAATATACTTGTTAAGTAGATGTACAAAAAGATTATCATGTGCTGTAAACTAAGTTAAAGAAGCAAGTGAGCAAGAGAAGTGGAGAGTAAGAAACATGGAAACTGCTGGCAGAGGCCCTGGGGCAGTCAGCCCAGACCAGGACAGCAGGCCCGGCCACTGGGCTGAGAGCCTGGGAGGCTCCGGTGGGTCCAAATGCAGCAGGCGGAGGAACCTGCGGATCCCATGGCGTCGGTGTTTCTGTGCATGCCAGGTGTTCATAATGTAAAATCACCTTATTCTAAAGCTGGGGCTCATTAGGGTCACTCTGCACGACGCCTGGACTGCCCAAGCTGGGAGCACCGGGTTTGGCAAATACGGCAAGCTCCTGCCTGGAAGGCAGGGACCTGGCATGGGTGGGAGGGGAGCAGGAAAGGCACTAACCATAGTAACTGCATGTGGACCTGAGGTGACACCAAACAGACTGTTTAAAGCCCACAGGCCTGTGCTCGATCAACAGCATCAACATGCACCCTGGAGTCTGCCTTCTTAAGGAAACTGCAGCGAAAGGAAGCGCAACGGGAGAGGTAAATGTCCCAGGGCTGTGGCTACAGTGGTTTGGCTCTTTGCTTGGCCCTTTACAACTGGGCAGCTCAGAAAGTGAAAATGAGGGACTTGGCAGGTTTTTTTAAATGTTTAAAAATGTTCCATTAATGTTTGTATTTCCTGGACAAGGATTCCTGGTGCCCTGATTAATATTCTTGGTATTTCTTTAAAAATAGCCTTCAGCATGGGTGAGTCGGCCATGGCTTTTCCTCTTAACACGCTCTCTTTGATATTTTCTTTCACTGCAGGATAGGCCGCATTTGGCAGCCAGGTGAAATGTAAGTTTATTTGGAGACTTTGGCTTGAAAGTTGCTGAGTTCTCTGGCAATTCTGGTGGCATCCTTAAGAAATGTCAGCTGGCAGGAGGCAAGGGCAGAGCTGCTTTGCTTTGCATCCTGCATCCCAGCTCCCCTGCTCTGGAGATCTGACTTCTAAAAGTTCTTTGTTACCTCACATTTTCACATGCATTTGAAGTAATTAATATCTTGATGCAATCCTATTGTCACATTTACTTATGAGATAGATACTTTCCTTTGGTTATGTGACAGTTGCCTAAAATGTTGGACTTAATCTAAAACCAAGAAGAAACCTCTGACAGTGAAAACCACCTAAGTGGCATTTATTAAGTATAAATAGTGTCTAAGAAGAGGTGAGGAAGGAGCACTGGTTCTCATCTCAGGAAGAACCTTCTTGCAGGACGGGACGAAGGAAGGACTGCAGGAGCTCTTAGCTGGAGCTCTGTCATTCTCGCTTGTCCTGATGACTTAAAGATGTGTGTGTTCTGTCACATCACATCTGCATCGAGAAATGAAAGGAGTGTTCTGACTCTCAAGTTCTATCTCCAGTTCACCAAATTTACTATAAACACAATGGTTTCCACTAGTCTATTATCTGGAAAATGACTTGTCTAAGAAAAAATTAAGTGATATTGATTTGAAATGAAGAAAACTCATTTATGTGCATTTCAGGAACCCTAAGTGAATCAGCTAAATATATGCACTGAGAAAAAAATAACTGTTACCCTCTCTGTAGTGTGTCATAATAGGCTGGAGACATGAAGCCCATTAACAGAGTTAGGTATTAGGTGCCTGATGAGTTATACCCAACGTCAGAGATTTTCTGTTGTAACAACTCCTTGAAAGCCAGCTATTGCCTGTGTCTCTACAACATCACTCAAAAGCTACTATTAGAGCCACCAGGAATTGTCACCAAGCAGAAGCTTCTTTCGCATCAGCAGAGAAACAGGCCCAGTGCGGTACTTACTGCGTCAGCACGAGGGCCACTGCGTCGTTCAGCACGCTCTCCCCGAACAGGAGCGTGTACAGCGCGGGGTCCACATGCAGCTCGTGGAAGATGGCCAGCACCGTAACTAGGACAGACAGAGGCAGGGTGAGCCGCACAGCACGCGCCGGTCGTGGTCACTTCAAAAGCATTCATGGATGCTCATCTCCAATCATCCTCTATGCCCACGGTGGGCTCTCACCCCCCAAATCACCTATGGGTGTCGCCCTGCTCAGAGGCTCCTCTGGGCTCCCCACTCCTCCTCCAAGTCTCCTACACTCCGCACCGTGGACCTTCCAGCATGTCCCTCTGTACCCATTCCTGCCCGCCTGCCCATTGCTGCCGCCCTCAAGCCACACTGAACTTACCGTAATTCTCCCCCAAGATAATTGTGTAGCTTTTTAAACTATGTTTGCATTTGGATTCACTTTACCAGGACAGGGATATTTTCTCCTCCATGTGCTACCATTCCGCCCACCCCCATACATACACACACACACACACATTCTTGCTACAAAAAAAACTTTATTCAATCTTTTAAAGCCTCTCAAGTATTTCACTGTTTCCCAGCCCCCTGGCCCCTGAAACTCGGCTCACTCCTTTTGGATCCCAGCATTTGGATCAAATCTCAGAACTTATCACAGAAGAGGCTGTGAGCTCCCTGGGGGTAGGGCCCATCTTTGCAACACGGAGTACTTGGCAAATGCTCAGTAGGTATTTGATGCATGAATGACTGAAGTGAGTGAATAAATGAATGTATTTGCACGGCCCACTCCTGCCAAGGGAGAGGTAGGCCGACCTGGCTCTCCCTCTCTCCTAGATCACACTCATCCGCAGAGATGGGCTCAGTGTTCCTAAGAGCACGACCCAAGGGCTTGCCTCCTCTAGCCGGCCGCCCGGTACCATCCTCCGCAGCCTCGTATGGAGTGTTTGAGCACGTCAGGACAGTCAACAGTCACACCCTGATCGACCGTGTTCACCGGAGCTGTTCTGTGTCTTGCTATTTGAAACTGCTATGCAGTGTGAAAGCAATCCTTAGGGAAATGATCCACTGAATTGATTGCCAAAGGGGGAAAGAGGGTGACTGAAAATGATACTGGTGGTGAGTTTTTAAGGCAGAGAGGGCATTTTCATTTCTGTTCTTTCCTTTCCTGTTTCACAGACTGTGACGTTATGACTGTGTTGTATAAAAGATGCTACGGGGGAAAGCTGAGTTTGAAGGTTCTGTAANGTTTCACAGACTGTGACGTTATGACTGTTGTATAAAAGATGCTACGGGGGAAAGCTGAGTTTGAAGGTTCTGTAAGTAGGGTCAGAAGTTTGGTGCTTGTCCTGTGCAATGGGGAGCCAGGGAAGGGTTTTAGCCAGAAGGGAGACACTATCTGATTCAAACTTTAGAAATAACCTCGAGCAGCAGGGCAGAGAACAGAATGGATGTGTGGCTGGAGGCTCTCCCAAATGTCCTGGCACGAGGTGAGTTGAACCCAAATAGGAAGAGATCTCGATCCAGGCTCCCAAACTCCAGCACATGCACCACCCTGCCTTCTGAGGGGTCGGGGACCACAGGGCTTTGTACCTGACTTACTCGCCGGCTCTGACCTTCTCCAGCCCTTAGCACAGTGCTAGACTATAGGATGCCTTCACTGAGTGAGTGAATAAAAAGTAATATCAGGGAGGGTCAATCACAGGAGACAATACCCCCAACATTTTTAGGATGGAGAATTGGTTGCTGGTGCTTGAGAGGCAGCAAAGAGTGACTCTGGGTTTCAATCCTGGGCAACTGGTAGATGGAGCCACATAAGAGAAACTAGTTTGTAGGTGGGGAATCCAGTAAGTTTGGTCTGAGACATACTGACTTAAGTAGCCAGGTAGAATTTCAAGTGAAAATTTAAATCGGAAAGCTGGAAATAAAAGGCTGGAACTACAGAGAGGGCAGAAGACAGCATTCATAGACTATAGATGGGCCATAAAGCCACAGAGGGATGGAGAAGGCCTGGGTGAAGTGTACAGGAAGAGAAGAGAGGCCATGAGAGATACGTGGGGGACAGCTATAGATAGGGGGTCATGGGGAAAAGGAACATGAGTACATGAGTTGCATTTGCTGGACCTGACCCTAAGCATGAACAAGCCGGCTGGAAATCATGCCATCATGAATTTCTGTAAATATATTTTTATTTACTAAAGATTATCTTAGAGGAAAGAGTTTAAAACTCAACAAGTGGACTCGGGACAGCAGAATAAAATGCCGTGAGTTGGCACGACAGTCAGCTAGACCGCACCAGAGTCCGTTCCATATTCCAACCGAGCGGGTCCTCCCTCGGTGGCCACAGGCAGGTGGCAGAGCGGCGCCTCCGCGGGCTTAGAGGGCACCTCCACTCTCTCAGCCTCCGCAGGCGCTGGCGGGAGCAGCAGCAGGACTCTGCTGAGCCATCTGTTCCTCCCCTGGACAGAACCAGGACCCTGCATCTAATCAAAACCCTGAGGCTTCCGCCAGGGATGGGAGTTAATTAGCAACATCTTCCTTTTGCTAGGATCCTGTGGAATAAAAGTGGTTATTCTTAAACTAGAAAACTATCACGGCTCTATTGTTGACTAGTCTCTGTATTTGCAAGCTCTGGAGATGACTTCCTGCTCCCCTGCACCCCAGAGAGGCTTCCTGGGCTCGGGGATGGAGATGTGAGGCCCGGGCTCCCTGCCTCCCTCCCCGGCTCCGGAGGCCACTCTGTGGGGATGGACTCGGCTTCTTCCCGGTGACGGCCTTGGGACTAGGGAGGAAGGCTTAATTGAATATCCAGTTTTGTTCAAAATGGTTCTGCATTCCTGGAATTCCTTTGGCACAGAAACCTGACCCCACTTTTAAGCGCGACCTCACACAGAAGGGAAGGCGGTCGCTTTGCACATTCTGTCTACCTTCGAGGATAGGGAAGGAACAGCTTCAAAGGGAGGCACTGCGGTGAGCCCTGCAGAGGGAGCAGGTGCTGGGGCCACAGCTGAGTCGCAGAGGTGACTCAAGTATTAGCCACCCACTCACTGCCCAGCTCCCAGCTGCTGGGCCACCCCCGGGAAAGGCTGGGCCTGCGGCTGGGCTAACGCAAGGGCCACTCAGAGGTGCCTTCTGGTGACTGTGCGAGAAGAACCCTCCAGACACCAGGTGAGCAGCAGGGGAGACACAATCGGATTCCTCAAACCTCTGATCTATCCGGGGATCTTTGTCACACTTCAGTCCTGCTCATCTCTTGGTGGCAGCTCTGGTGTTTCACTTGGGGCTCGGGCCCTTCTCTGCACTCCCTCGTCCACCTGACTTTTTAGCTATAAACCCCCGCTCCATCTCTCACTTGGTAATAAGGGACACATGCACGCACACACAACCTTATGCTCAAATAAATGAACACAGGCACACCATACACAACTGCTCCCCGTAAGGACCAGGCAGCTGAGACGGGCCACCGGGTCCCTGGTGATACCTGAGGAAGCGCCCGGCAGCGGAGCCGCAGGGGCCACGCAAGCGGGGGGAGGGGGCTGTGGGACAGACCACCGTCTGAGAGCCGCGACCAGGGCGGAGGGAGAAAAGCAGCAGCCTGTGGGGCATGAAGCCCAAGTGTAATAATCACGCGGGGAGGAAAGTGCAGACAGCGACGCCGGCCCCAAGGTATCTCAGCGCGGTGACTCCGAAAAGATGCTTTGATTTGTCCATTGCAGCGTTCCACCTGCCCCCTTCCCTAATGTCACTTCTTGTGGTCACTTCTGTCTTCAGGCGAGTTAGTGACAGGCCCTTCCCTAGAATCTCCACTAGCAGCTCTCTGACCCATATTTTCCTGGTGTTTTACAAGGAATTTAAATCTCGAATGACATTTTAATGCAGCAGGGCTCAGCAACCTGGTACAAGACCTGCCTGGGTGTAGGACAAGGCCACACAAAGTGACATTA